CCGCGGGAGGTAGGCCCGCCACGGACAGCGAGGGCGGGAGGGAGTGGAGGCGCGCGCCGCGTCGGACCGCATTAGCCGACGGGAGCGGGCGGGGCGGGGCGGGGAGCGGGAGCGGGGGCTGGGGCTGGGGCGGGGGAGTGGGGCGTGACGCGCGCGCTGACCGGATCGGCGCGGCCCGGCGGCAAAACAAAGCGGATTGATGGATTCGTCGCTGTCGCTGGCGCGTCCGGCGGGCGGGCGGACGGTGACCCCAACCCCAACCCCAACCGTGGTGGTTGGTTGCCTCTTCTTGCTCGGTGGGACTCCGCCCGCACCCGCACGCCGCGGTTGGTGGCGGACTGGCGTGCGTCTTCTTCCAGCCCCCTTTTCCCCTCGCTGCTCCCGTCCCGCGGCTTGCTTGCTGGAGCACTGTTCAACCAGTTGACCAGCCGAGCCAGCACCGGCAGAGTGGCAACTCAGCTCCAGGGACACCACCCAATCAGCTCCGGATGTCATGCGAGCATCAGATACCGTAAACCGGGGCATCCCAAATAATAGACGCCGGTTCACAGGACACGGCCGATTTTTCCGGCCCGAATAGACCCCTTATAATCGGCCATCCTGACTTTTTGATGTGGGATTCTGCATACTCGAGTCGTTTCCGTCATATCTACGAGATCCACACATGTTTTTGCCGGATCCCCTTCCCTTGCGCGAAAGCCATTTCCTCCAGCTTCCGTTCCCGCCTCACTCCCCGCCGCTGCCACCGCCGCATCTCCCCGCCGGTTCTTGGTACCCCCGGCTGCCCCGCATCGTCCATTAGCTTCGACGTCCCGCGCCGTATCCATTCCACCAAATTGGGAGGCCGGGGGAGCACATTTGTATCAGCGGGGGAGCCCATTTGGAGGCCTTGTAGCCGGCGGATCCGATTTTTTCCAACGCCAGTGAACCTCGGATTCACTCAAGGGATAGCCACACGCGCCGGAGGAAAGGGTTTTGGCTGTCTTTGCTTCGGCCAGCGGGAAGAAGAAAGGGGTGGCCCGCTTTGCTTCGGCCAACATGGGAGAAGAAAGGGGCGGCTGACTTTGCCTCAGGGGAAGGTATGTTCAGTGCCCGCCGTCTATTTTAATTCAATTTTGACAGGGAGAAATTCACACGTGTGCATTTGTTAGATGGATTGGAGTTCATCGTCGCCGTCTTCGTTGGCTGATCCGAACATATAAGAGATGATTCCGAACGACGATGTCGACAACCTAGTGTTGTTGCATCTCGTGGACAATTTTCATATGTATTGGGGTGATTAGAACAATTTGTTGTTGTAATAATTTTTCGAATTTGATCATTTGTTGTAATGAAGACGATTGTTGTATTGTTAATTGCCTTTAGAACCATTTATACTCATGTTTTTAATTTATATTATGATTCTATTTAGTTCGTAATGTTGGAAATCTTGAATTTACAAAGCTACAAAAATTTGCGGTACCGCAAAGCCTCTGGCGTGGAACAGATCTTGTAAACTCGTCTCGTAGAACATTTGTGGGACAAGTTTACATGATTTGTTCCGCCGGATGAGGGAGTCCTGGATTAAGGGGTCCTCGGACGTCCGGCCTGTTAGTCATGGGCCGGACTGATTGGTTGTGAAGATGTGAAAACCGAAGACTGCACCCGTGGGACTCTCCTTGGCATGGAACATAAGCTTGGCGACCGACTATGTAGATTCCTTTCCTTTGTAACCGACCTTATGTAACCCTAGATCCTCCTGGTGTTTATATAAACCAGAGAACTTAGTCCGGAAAGAGGAGATACTCACTATCATAGTCATACAGGCTAGACTTCTAGGGTTTAGCCATTATGATTTCGTGGTAGATCAACTCTTGTAATACTTATATCCATCAAGATCAATCAAGCAGGAAGTAGGGTATTACCTCCATAGAGAGGGCCCGAACCTGGGTAAACATCGTGTCCCCTGCCTCCTCTTACCATCGACCTTAGATGCACAGTTCGAGACCCCCTACCCGAGATTCGCCGGTTTTTGACACCGACATTGGTGCTTTCATTGAGAGTTTCACTGTGCCGTCAACGAAAGGTTCAATGACCCCTTCAATCGTCAACAATGACGCTGGCCAGGGAGAAACCTTCCTCCTCGGACATATTTTCGTGTTCGGCGGCTTCGCACTTTGGGTCAACTCGTTTGGCCACCCGGAGCAGATCGATAGCTACGCCCCTGGCCATCAGGTCAGGCTTGGGAGCTTGAATTACATAGCGGACATCCGTGGAGATTTGATCTTCGCCGGATTCGAGGCCGCGGCGATCGCTCCTGGCCACCTTGACGAACATGACTTAAATATGTCGTCAGACCGCATCCAGAAGATAGCTCCGGTGACTACTCTGGCCTTAGATCCAGAGCACACTGCGACGCCATCTAAGGACTGGAGGTTCAACCCACCACGGAGGCCACAGATTCCCCGACGTTGGAGCCGCACATGGACTTAAACTCACACAATATTTTTGTCACCGGAACCCCGGACTCGTCTCCGGGTGTAAGTCCCGAACCATGTGAGTCCACGGATGCCGAACTTGATCGTTTATCGATCTTCGAGTTCAGCGCCACAGACATCTTCCAGCACTCACCCTTGGGCGACGTGCTAAGATCATTAAAGAACATGTCCTTGGCGGAGGACTCACAGCCGAACTATATCCGGTTCGAACTAGAAGCTGATGATAGGGAATTTCGCTCCCCACCCGCCACCCACTTTATAGCGACTGTCGAAGACTTAACCGACATGCTCGATTACGGCTCCGATGACATCAACGGTGTGGACGACGATGCCGGAGAAGAAGAGGCCCAGGACCCGCCGTTCACCGGACGCTAGACGACCACTTCCTCGTACGATGTGTACATGGTGGATGCACCAAAGGAGAATAGCGGCGATGAAAAAAAAGACCCAGTTGAGGATAAACCTCCTAAGATACAATCAAAATTCCTACGTCAGCGGCGCTGCTCTAAGTCACGCCGCAGTAAAGATAGCAACACTGACACAGGAGAAGATAACACTCCGAAAGGTGCCGAACACAACGAAGACCCCGTTGACGCAGCTACCGAACGGGATGAACAGGAAGATGGCCATGCATGAGGACTCGGAGGACAGTAATTATCTTTCGCTCTCCGAGGATGAGGCGAGCCTCGACACCGAGGATTTCATCGTGCCTGAGGAACCTCTTGAGCAGGAGCGCTTCAAGCGCCAGCTAATAGCCACTGCAAGGAGCCTGAAGAAGAAGCAGCAGCAGCTTCAAGCTGACCAAGATCTACTCAACGATAAATGGACCGACGTCCTAGCAGCCAAAGAATACGGCCTCAAGCGCCCGGCCAAAAGCTACCCGAAGCGCAAATTACTACCTCGGTTTGACAACGAGGCGCCAGAACACATACCACCATCGCGCAATGCGGCCGACCGACCACCACGTAGATGGGACAAAGCGGCAACTCAAGTCGAACACTAGCCCGCCCCGCCTCATCGCAAAGACAGAGGTAAATCAGCTCGGGGTCAAACATATGACCTTTGAGATGACCTGAACGATAAAGCAGGATATACCCGATCGATTTACGGATCGCGAGGACGTTCCTCGACACGTGATGATGGCTACCTATTCGGACATGACAAACCTAGTCACACCCGAGCCGACAACCGCAGACGTACTCCATCGGAGCTACGTCGCGACGCGGCCCGATATAGAGGCGTCACACACCCCCTTTGCTTCACCGATGAAGTAATGGATCACGAATTCCCCGAAGGGTTCAAACCCGTTAACATTGAATCATACGACGGAACAACCGACCCCGCGATATGGATCGAGAATTTTATTCTCCATATCCACATGGCCCGCGGAGATGACCTCCACGCTATCAAATGCCTCCCACTAAAGCTCAAAGGGCCAGCTCAGCACTGGTTAAACAGCCTGCCCGAAAACTCTATCAGCAGCTGGGAGGACTTGGAAGAAGCCTTCCTTGACAACTTCCAAGGTACATATGTCCGGCCACCAGACGCCGATGACTTAAGCCACATAGTCCAACAACCTGGAGAGTCAGCAAGAAAATTTTGGTCTAGGTTCCTAACCAAAAAGAACCATATCGTCGACTGTCCGGATGCCGAAGTTCTAGCGGCCTTTAAACATAGCATCCGCGACGATGGCTCGCCCGCCACCTCGGCCAAGAAAAGCCGAAATCTATGGCAGCCCTCACAGCACTTATGACCCACTTTTGTGCGGGTGAGGAC